ACTCAAAATAAGACTTTTTTTCATTCATTTTTTATTATACTTCAATATATACACATTTATTATTCGAAATGAGATAATTTATATTTTAAATATTTTATTCAATCGCACAATCATGATATCTTCTAAAATATCATCCTTCAGATTTCGACGTAAATTAGTCAACGATGAAAATCCACGTTCTACGCTTATCTAAAATAGATAGTCATTTTTATAAAACATAAATTATTGTACTTGTGTCGCCGGTACAGCCATGACGATTCTAGAAAAGGTATATAATTCTGGATATATTGAAGAATTTTCCTCCCAGAATTTTAAAATGCTTGCATTTCTATTTATTCTCATAAGTTCCGAGAACTTTTCTATTAAAGATACAATAGATATTTTTTGCTCCTTTCTATCAGATGATAATTTAAATTTTTTTCTCTATCTAATAGTAAAATTTCCAGATCATCAATATCGTTATCATTATCATTGTTATCGCTACAACCAGTAGATATTGTTGTAACCACCAATGTATTGTAAATAATAGAGTTTTGGGTATGCCATAAATCTTTAAGATGGTCTATAGCCATTTGTTTTTGCTCACTACTTAATAAAACCTGATATTACGGGTCTAAATATATCGAAGCATATACAACACTATTTTGTAAATATTGTTGCTCTCTTATTTTCGTATTTTCTAATACTTCATTTGAAAAAGAACTTGTTAATCTCCCTAACTCTAATCGACAGCTTAACCATATGCCATAAAAATCCGATAAACATAATTGTTCAGCTTGCACTCTTAATGTTGTTATTTTCAAACTAGTAAGCTCTTTTACTTGATTCCAATCATCTTCTGAAAAAAATGATTTCACATGCTCCTATGATAAAATCATTACAGAAATCTTTCAAACTTAATAATCGCTCTAGCATCATACACATAGAGGACCAACGTGTTGTGCAATCTAAAATTGCCATTTACCTTTTCATGGATTTTAATATTTTAACAATTGTGGGAGTTCTTAAATATCTTACAACATCCCTTGCTTTATCAATTATAGTTTTAAAGTGACTATTTTTTAGGGAGATTCCACGAAAAAAATTAATAAAATTATAAAAATTTTACATTATTTTTTAAAAATTAATAAAATTATAAAAATTTTATATTATTTTTTAAAAATTATATTTTTACATTAATTTAAAAAAAAATTTTTTTTAAATTTTTTACACCCTGAACCCTTGGACCCTCCACTTTTTAAAAGGGTCCAGGTCCGGGTCCGGGTTCAGCCAAAATACGAGGGTCCAGGAGGGTTCAGGGTCCGGGTTCACATCCCTGCTTGTAACGATTCATATTCAATATCATTATTTTCTTTAATATTAATCAATCTTAAATTATGATACTTACCAATTTTCCTGCCAATCGATTTCTGTTTTTCGTATGAATATTGCCCCAAACAGACCAATTTCTTTCTGAAGAAGTCGAACTGGGATATTTTAGTAAAATATTAGCTACTTCTCTTATGGGCAAGGTGGGCAAAGTGCATTCCAGGCCGAAATCTGATTGTTTCTTATAGAAGTTACCACTTTTCACATATTTTGGTTATTAAATATGCAGCTTTTACTTCTGAAATTTATTATATCATTTAAAATATTTTGATTATCACTACCGTGTAAAATACCTAATCCTTGTATTAAATCGCACGCTTCATCAAATTCAGTACTAATAAGATGCTCCTCTTGATATTGGGGGTCCAATAAATAAGCAGCATTGTGAGCACATGTATTTAGATCATTTTTTCTCCTTTCAAACATAACACTATTTATTTTTTTCTTCAGATGGGGAAAATATAGAATAATGGCATTTATGTGTTTTTCCAATTTAAGCATCTCGTTTTTTACGTGAGCAAAAGTACATTTATCCCTTTCACTTTCAATAATGAGGTAGCTAAACATAGGAGTATAGCTAAAAATTAAAAATTTTTTGTCCAAAATATTTCTACATTTAATAAATTATTGATAATTTCTATGGGACAAATATCACATACTGTTTCTTAAACAACTGATGCTTTCAGAGCTTTCTTACATATTTGTATTTGCTCCATACATTTCATTGAAGATGCCCATCTTGTTTGGCTAATTGTACGAATTTTTTTTTTAATTATTGAAATATAATAACCAAAGTCGTTCAATTGTTTAAAATCGTGAAAGAATAACTGCAATGTAGGCGCTGCACAACCATAACTATATGATTATAAAGAGTTTAGAATTCTCCAGGCTGCTTTCATGTTAGCGGCATTATCAATAACTAAAAAATATACTTTTACCGGATTCAATTTATGAATTACATTTTTAAATTTCTGTGCAATACAATTTGCCTTATGGCGATTTTCCTCAGTATTTAAAAATTTGTAGAATACTAGAAAAGGCGTCATCACCATAAAATTAATAATACTCTCGTTTCTGATGTTTCTCCCGCCATCTAATACAATTGATAAGTGAGGAGATTTAATTTTTATATCTGCAATTCTCGCCGCCATATCTCCTGACACTTTATCGGAAAGATATCCAGCCAGCTGCCTTCGCCTAGGTAAAGTGTAAATGAGACCTATTTTTAAAAAAAATTCTTGGATCTAGGGATTTTCAGTGATCTGGATAGGTAAATTGCTCGCATATACAGCCTTTGCAAACAATTGATCGAGCTTATTTTTTTCTTTGGGATTCATTCTATCTATGAAACAGGTTATAAAAGATTGAGATTTACATTTAATCGACTTACTTGTAGATGATCAGAAAATAATAGAATCAATTTCACCCAATTCTTCATTAGAGCTAGTACAAATTACATTTGTGTAATTTTTTGTCGAGTTGATATTATTTGAATAAAAATTTTCCATAATTATGACAGGCACATAGTACAGCTGCTTAATAAATGCTTGACCATTCGATCAACATGGGTAATATAGGACATCTTGCAAAACCTGCAAACCGCTTTAACTGATTTATCATCGCGTACTTCTTGAAAATGTTTCCAAACTTGATGCTTTGACCATAATCCCTAATATATTAAAATTTAACTATAAAAGATTTTGATTATTGTAAAATTAATCAATCTTAATTATTTTATAATTATCAACCAAATATTTCAATAATTTAGGTTAATATTATATAAAATATAATAAATATATAACATTTTACCAGAATTGAATAAATTATTTTGTAAATCTGACCAGAACAACTAAAAAGAAAATTATAAATTAAAATGTAGCAAGTTAAAGTAAAATAAATTAGAAATAATATAATTATATCGGCTAAATATTAAATAAAATGTAAATTTATTAAAAAATTAACCATGACAGCTAAATTATTATATTTATTTTTTTAATACCTTTGTTTTTATATTGTAAAAATTTTTAAATTTTAATATAAAATTATTATTAAAACAATTCCTTCATTTTACAAATATATTTTTAAAACCTAATAAAATTGATAATGCTTTTAAAAATACTAGTTAATATTTATCGCCAATAAGGTCAAATACTCCTCCGGTCAATTGAACGACATTCCAACCATGATAGTAACTGGTTATAAACTTTTTTTATAAATTATTATGGGTTTGGGAAAATTTTTTGAAAATTGTTAAAAAATTAAAATTATTATGGTATTAGACCTTGCTTAAGAATTTTTTTATTATTAAATATATAATAAAATAATATATACAATTTATGTAATATAATTTATTCCCTATTATAGTTGCTTATAACTAAATATATCAGATAGTAGAAAATATAATTTAATTTTTATATATTATAAAAGTATTATTAATATCAAATAACATCTATAAATAAATAAAATAAATATTAATAAGCTTTTAACACTTATTATAGAAATTATTTACAATTATAATCCCAAATTGAATACCGCCATCTATTATATATTTATAGAATAATAAAACTTATTTTTCTCCTTTTATTTGATTGCTAAATTATACATTATATATATATTTTTTTAAATTTTATGCATTTTTATATTAAAGAGTTACACGAATTCCATGGTCACAAGTTTCTAATATGGGATTTTTCTTGTTTGGACACGAACTCTCCTTCTAATTTTAACAAGGATGCTCTGAACAGAGCTCAAAATTTTAAGATCACCAAATACAGCGCTGATTCTTCTAATTATATATCTTCAATCATCTGCTCCACTTTAACAACATATGGTGACTTTACTAAAAAGTTTTTTAAAGACGTTACCCGTCTAATCAGGAAAAATTATGGAAAACCTCGCGAAGGCTTTTACTTAAGGCAGAGGATCACAATAGCTATTCCTAAGGCTAATTATGTTTATTTTATCAATTCGATCCCGATGATTAAAGAAAAAGGATTTTGAATAATTGTGCTGGCTTCGCTTTTATTTATTTTGTATTTTACATTATTATATTATTTATGCTCAATCTTTTTGTTATTATGATTAATTGTTTTTTTTCTAACTCGTAATCTATAACAGTTTATATCACTAATTATTAATAAATCATATTTTATAAAGAAAAAAAAAATTAATTTCCATTAGCAATTATGGCTGGCTATAAAATAGCAGCGATATGCCTAAGGCCCCAACAAACCCTAGTGCCATATATTTTGCGAAAATTTAATTATTTAGTTGGAAAATTCTTATAATAGGAAATGCTTATTTTGCAAATATAATGCATATAATATCAACCAGTTAAATGTTTCACTCTTATATTAAATATACGAAAATATATTGATAGATTTTCTTGCACATCAGATTTTAAACAGAATTTTTTTTTATGATTATCTGATGATAAAGAATACGCGATCAAGTTTATTAAAGAAATTAAAATGCAAGTGCATATTAATTTAATTTAAAAGCCAAGCCAATTTTTAAGACGTTTCTTTTTTTACAAAACATATGATTCCTATCAGAATATAAGAAAGGCCTTTCACCTGTTGACATACCTTCTTAATCAGGGAAATCTTATTAAGATCGGTTAGATTCTGGCTTCATTTGCAGCTGTTTTTTGTGAGTAATCCCATGCATCGAAGTTTGCGAATGCCAGTTTTCTCAGATTTGTCTTCTTGGCTCAATATGAGTGTTTCAACAGACATTTTTCCAGGAACAAGGTATGCGTGGTCTACCGACCCTATACGGTTTTTCTGTTGATCTGATAGCTTCAATTTGTGCAATCAATAGATTCAAGGTTGCTATAGACAAGTTTCTTTTAGGAAATTCTCAAAAAATTAATGTTTTTCTAATTCTTAAAACTTTTATAAACTCGAGTCATCTCTACTGAAAACCATTTTCTTTATTATCGTTCTGTTTATATATAAAGTTTAATAATATAAAAAATAAATTTTTACATGGAAAGTTCAAATTTAGTTTGTCCAACTTTGAAGGTGAATAACACTATACCCTCTTGATAAATTTTGCAGAAAACATTGATGATGTATCCATGACTCAATCTATAAAATTTTCATGAATTACCTTTAGAAATGACAAATTTATTTGTATCAGTTCAATTGGAACATACTATATATTTATAATAAGCTAATTAATCATTTCATTATGTTAAAATTTTTTAATATTTAATTTGATTTTGAAATTTAAATATATAACATCCATTCGAAATATATTTTTGGAAATATTTATAAGAATCGAACTTCAATACCAGGGTTGTGCATTTGACCGGTCAAATACAATTCGGTCAATTGACCGATATTTGACCGGTCAAATATGGTCAAATTCAAATAAATGTTTTTTACACCAATATTAACTTTATTTTGCATTTATATAATATTATAATAAATCTATGTATAATAATAAATATCATAATATTTTTTAATTCATTCTATAGTCAATGTTTCACCCTCCGTGGCAGAGTCTTGTTCCGATTCATATTCAATATCATTATAATATTTTTAATCAATCTTAAATTATGATACACTCTTACTAATTTTTTTGCTGTAGAAGCCTTTAATCTATTTCTGTTTTTCGTGTGAATATTGCCCCAAACCGACCAATTTCTTTCAGAAGAAGAAGTCGAACTAGGAAATGTTAGTAAAATATTAGCGACTTCTCTTAATGGGCAAGGTGGGCAAAATGCATTCCACCAACTTGAGGCTGAAATTTGATTGTTTCTTATGGAAGTTACAACTTTCCACATATTATGGCTATTAAATATACCGCTTTTGCTTCTGAAATTTACTATATTACTCAAAATATTTTGATTATCACCACCTTGTAAAATACCCAATTCTTGTATTATATTACATGCTTCATCAAATTCAGTATTAGTAAGATGCTCCCCTTGATATTGGGGGTCCAATAAATAAGCAGCATTGTGAGCACATGTATTTAGATCAGTTTTTCTCTTTTTAAACATAACCTTAATTTTTTTTTCTTGAGATGGAGAAAATATAGAATCATGGCATGATTGTATTATGTGTTTTTCCAAATTAAGCATCTCGTTTTTTACTTGGGCCAAACTACATTTATCCCCTTGCACTTTCAACAATGAGGTAGCTAAAGGTTGGAGTATAGCTAAAAATTTTAAATTTTTCGTCCAAAATTCTTTGTTTAATATATTATTGGTAATTTCTATGGGACAAATATCACAAACAGCTTCTTCAACAACTGATGCTTTTAGAGCTTTCTTGCATATTTGAATTTGCTCCATACATTTTATTGACGATGCCCATCTTGTTTGGCTAATTGTACTCAATGTGGATGGTATGCCATGAAGAAATTTATTACGGGAAAATACTACAGCTGGTATGTGTTTATTCTTGAAAAATTTAACAATTTTTTTAATTATTGAAATATGGTCACTGAAGGCGTTCAATCGTTCAAAATCGTGAAAGAATAACTGTAATGTATGCGCTGCACAACCATAACATTGTATATGATTATAAATAGATTCAGATTTTAGAATTCTCCAGGCTGCTTTCATGTTAGCGGCATTATCAGTAACTAAAGAATATACTTTTACCGGATTTAATTCATGAATTACATTTTTAAATTCCTGGGCAATATAAAGAAATTTGTAGAAAACTGGAACAGGCGTCATCACCATAAAATTAATAATACTCTCGTTTCTAATGTTGCTCCAGCCATCTGATACAATTGATAAGTAAGGAGCTTTATCTATTATATCTGCAACTCTCACCTCCATATCACCTGACGCTTTGTCTAGAAGATATCCAGCCAGCTGCCTTCTCCTGGGTAATGTGTAAATAGGACGTATTTTTTTAAAAAATTCTTGGATGTAGGGATTTTCAGTGATGTGGAAAGGTAAATTGCTCGCATTTGCAAACAATTGATCCTGCTCATTTTTTTCTTTGGGATTAATTCTATCTATGAAACCGGTTATACAAGATTGAGATTTATATTTAATCGCCTTGCTTGTAGATTGATTAGAAATAATGGAATCAAATTCTCCTGAGTCACAAGACAAAATATTGTTCATTTGATAATCATTCTCACTAATTTCACCCAATTCTTCATTAGAGTTAGACTTAGAAGTATTACAAATTACATTTGTGATATTTTTTGTAGAAGTTGATATTTTGGAATTTGAATAAAATTTTTCCTTAATTATAACAGGGCACATATTACAGCTGCTTAATAAATGTTTGACCATTCTATCAACGTGGGTGATATAGGACATCTTGCAAAACTTGCACACCGCTTTAACTGATTTACCATCGCGTACTTCTTGAAAATGTTTCCAAACATGATGCTTTGGTTTGACCATAATCCCTAATATATTAAAATTTAACAAAAAATGATTTTGATTATTGTAAAGTTAATCAATCTTAACTATTTTATAATTATCGACCAATTATTCCAATAATTTATTAATATTATAAATATAATATAATATATATAACTTTTTACCAGAATTGAATAATATTCCGTAAATCTGACCAGAACAATTAAAATGAAAATTAATTTTAAAAACCAAATATAGCAAGTGTAAGTAAAACAAATGAGAATTAATATAATTTATACTCGGCTAAATATTAAATAAAATTTAAATTTATTAAAAAATAAGAATGAAAAAATTATATTATGATTATAATAAATCGGGTATTTTTATTTTTTTTAAGAAAAATGAATTGAAAAAAATAAAGAAGGCGAGAAACGGCAATGATTAGGCAAAAAAATAACTAAAAATATTACTATATTTAGAAAAATTACATATTTATATTTTAACAATAAAAAAATTCTTTTGTTTTCAACAATTCATGATACAAGTAATTTTTTAAATAATTGTAACCTAATAAGATTGATAAACATGCTTTTAATGCATACTAGTTAATTATATCAAAATATTTATTCGCTATTAATATTTTAGAGTATTTGACCGTATTTGACCGGTCAAATACTCCTCCGGTCAATTCAGTCAATTGACCGGATTTGACCGGTCAATAGACCGACATGCCAACTCTGTTTAATACTCCTAAATATTATTATAAAAACTCTAAAAAATTATTTTTTATTTTTGTAAATTTCAAAAAAATAAAAATGCCCAATCTCGGTCTACCTTTATCCAAAAAATGGAATATTCCAATTCCATTACAAAAGTGATTAAATTACTTTTTTTTTAATTTATCAATTTTTTTTAAAAAAAAACTAAAAACAAAACGTGAAAAATATTTTAGAAACATATTAAAATATCATAAAACTTAAACTTTTATAGATTTATATATTTATGAATTATTTTAAAAAAAAATCCAATCTAGTCTATAATATCATCGCATGAGAATTAGATTATTCTATATCCAATTTGTCAAAACTGACTTTTTTTTACATAAATCAAATTTTTATAATTATACCATTCTATTTACATTAAAAAATTCAAAATATTTATAAATGAACTCATATTAAATCCGATACTAGGTTAAACATCCTATTGAAAACAGACTTAATTTTTAAAACTGCTCTCCTGCAAAATTGTAAAATGTGGAGATAAAATATTCTAATTCTCAGGCGACCATATATAGAAAAATATAAAAAATAACTTGATTAAGAGATGAGACCGGTGATATAAACAAAATTACCCTGGAAGAAGATGAGTTCTTAATAATAATACATATAGAAATATAATGTTTTATCTCCGTTTAATAGGAATATAAAAATCAAATAATTAGATTCAATTATATAATAGTTATTTTTTAGAAATGGTTTCTCCTCCATTTTGTTTAATATTTTATTATATTTAATATCCATGGTATATTTGGGATATTTGGGATATAGAAGTAATATTCTACTCTAATTTTGGAAATTTAGAAAGTATAAAAGCAAGTTTTCTTCCATTTCTCTTTTTCTTTTCAAATTTTATCATCTTCGAAGCCATCTATTTTTCTTTTTTATCATTAACTTCTTCGATTATTACTTTATTTTCTAACCCCCAAATCTAATAAAAATGTGTATAAGGGGGAATAAAAAACGAATACTTACTAATCTGTCACTAGCATTCTCAATTTAAACAACTCGCGCCGTGGGCAAAATTCTCATTTGGAATAATACCTTTTTAAATGATCATTTCCTTATCCTCTCGCCGCCAAGTCTTTAAAAAATATCCCATTTTATATAATAATAAGATATTTTATTTTTAAATAATGATTGAAACTTTATAAATATTATATATTTTTTCTTTAAATCGAATAGGCTTTAGTCGAATTTTTTTAGGTAATGCTTTCATATATTCAAGACAATACATTAGATTTTTCGAATTTATGGAAGCACCAATCTTGAATAACTGACATCACTGCGTTATACCTCCTATTTAAGGCGATCCAATAAGGTTCTGTTAGGAAAGGATGTAACATGTCAGCACTTAGGGAAATATTAAATAAGTGCACGAAACGACCGTTTTTTAAGAGTTTCAATCTTTCATAAGTTGATCGGCGAAGTCTAGTGTGGAAATAAAAAATATTATTTAAAATGGAATAAAATTTGTAAAAGGGATTAAAAAATTTTTTTTAAAATTACTTATTAAAAAAAATATTAACCGTCTTACAAGTAACATAATATGATTTGTTGTTAAAGGCCTAAAACAAATTATTTGTTATTCAATATTCGATTCGCTTCAAATTCGATTCGTATTTTACGAATACGAGATTCGAAAATTCAAACGAATATGAATAATAAGAAAAAATATCCGTCGAATAGTAAATTTTTATTGTCCGATTTGAATTATTTGAGATTATTAGTTTTAGTAGAATCCTTAAAGGTATTATTTTAAAACATCCACATCTGTTTTAATTTTTTTTGCAAAAATATAATCGATTAGCTTTAGAAAAATTTCCCAATCGAATAATGATTTTATTATTCGTATTAATAATGAATCATTGGATTCGTACATAACGAATTATTCGATTCAAAAATTAGAATCGAATATGAATAATAAGAAAAAATATCCGTCGAATAGTAAATTTTTATTGTCCGATTTGAATTATTTGAGATTATTAGTTTTAGTAGAATCCTTAAAGGTATTATTTTAAAACATCCACATCTGTTTTAATTTTTTTTGCAAAAATATAATCGATTAGCTTTAGAAAAATTTCCCAATCGAATAATGATTTTATTATTCGTATTAATAATGAATCATTGGATTCGTACATAACGAATTATTCGATTCAAAAATTAGAATCGAATACGAATAATTGTATTATTCGATTCGATTTGTTTCTTTCTAGGCCTAGTTTTGAAACATTTCCATAATATTTGTAACAACTATCTTATAAAATTGTTTAACTAGCTGCAATTATTGTAAAAATATCATAACGATAAAATTTTAAAAGAAAAGGAAAATTATAGCAAGGTTAAACAATTCTAAGAAAGTTGTTACCAATATATATAACTATTCCTGTATTTTACATATTAATTAGTACTGTTAAATGATTCAATTTGAGACGATTTTTAAAAACGGCCAACTCAATAGTATAACCAAAAAAATATTGACTAAGCCTAGAGATTTTGGCTAATAGATGTCCAAACTTTGTGCTATGTATGAGCAAAATCTTCAGGCTTTCGTAATATGTTTTTCTGGATAAAACATTGAGTCAGCCGTTTTAAAAAATCGCATCAAATTCAGCCGTTTAACAATACTAATATTAAAATAATGTAGCATAATTATTGTATATTACATTATTATTTATTTACTTGCAGCATTGATATAAAGGGGCCAATGTTGTAAACGTGTCTACATCTGGATCTGGAAAGCTTAAAATTCAAAAATAAAACATCCATTTAATCTTATTTCATTAAATAATTGTTTTGAATTTAAGAAGCCTGCCAAAAGAAATAATGAATAGTTCGATGGTCGAATACGAATAATTAGACTGAAATAAACATCGAAACGATTTGATGGGATATTTATGAAATGAACATGTATCGTAATCAAAATTTGAAACCGGAACTAAAAAAAATTATTCTCCCTCCGTTTCTGATTTTAAAATGGGCTCTGAATTCTACCTAAAACGAATTATTCGATTCGAAAATTTAAATCGAATACGGATAATGCAAATATATGATTCGATTCGATAACAGGTCCTAATTCTTGTTCCAACTCTGATTAATTTTATTTTTCTGATCACCCACCCCCCCCCCCTCCCCACTTCACCCCACTCCCCCCAATAATTGAATTTGATAGTTCAAGAATTAGTTCTTCATACCTAACTTATGAGATCGATAACATTTAGACAGATAATTCTATCAGATTAGTTCGGACTGGTTCTTAATTTATTTTTGTAATTTTTATTTCAGCAGATCTCGAACATCGACAAAATTGTAATTCCTTTAAAAAAAACAAATTCTTCTAGTTTTTTTTCAAGAAAAACACAATATTTTCTTTTATCTTTAAGAGGCTGTCCTAGATCACGTCTCTAATGTTTAAAATGAAATGTTTTCATTATTAAAACTTAAATGTTAAATTCTACCTTTTAAAAGAATAATGATAGCGTTTTAAACGCAGAGAAAGTGAACTAAGGCCAGGAGGTGTAACGCTTATAATGTTTGCGCCTTTATTTCAGCACACCTTTTTTATTATCCCATATTATTCATTAATTTTTTTTTATATTCAGGTCATGAATTGATTCTAAAATAGGAGTTCGGATTGGACTAGAATTTAAAGAAAAATAACCTATTGATTGGGCAAGAAATATTCTCGGTTTTGACTAGATTGGAATATATATGTTTAATGGAAAAAATTTTAGGCTAAATCGCTAGAAAAAATTAATCGTAAATCATAATTTTTTTAAAAATAAATTATAACCAATTTCCAGAATCTATCATGATTAACGAAGGCGGCACGGCATGATGCGTGCCCTTATCTTCTATATACTCGAAACTGTTCCTATCAATATTATCCAATAGAAAATCATAAATAGCCATATCAGTAATATCCAATAAAATCGTTATTTGATTTCTTTTCTTCAACCCATCCTCATTTTGTTCAATTATCATTTTTAAATTTTTTAAGCAATATTCATTGGATATATCATACCTAAATCAATATTTTAAATTTTGTTTTTTCACTTACAATTATAATGAAATCTAACGATTTTTATTGATTGATTAATTTGAGGTTGATATTTAATTTGCACCTATTTTCCATTTTAAAAATTTTATCAATTGATTATTGCTAATCAAGTGACCCGACCCGTGCGCTGTGAATCGCAGCGTGCGTGTTAGCGATCTTCTTTTGTCAAACCGCCTATTTTATGATAAGGGAGGGTATAAATTTTTAAAACATCATTTAAATTATATATTTATATCAAATTAGCCTAAATGATGCTAGAAAAAGTGGCGTTTGCAGGATTTAGAATCAATTTAATGTCGGAATGTGCAGCAGACATGAGATCTAGTTTTATAGCAACTGTAAAATACCGCGATGTCGCAAAGCGATGCGTAAATTATCGTTAAACGATGGCATAGCTGTATAATTTAACATTGTGTATTTAGTAAAATATCCCTCGAGCTACATTGCACTATTTTGCGGTTACTATAAATTGACACCTTAGGCTAATAATAGTCTTATTGGGTTTATTTTTCTTCGTTTTTAGCCTTAATTTAGTCATTTCTTCTGACTTAACTAAAATAAAAATTTGATCATTTACACCTGAGTTTATGTAAAATTTTTAACTCCCAATTATTTAATCAAATGAATTTAACGAAACGAAATATTTTATTTTATTCTTAAAAATGTAATGTGGACTTATTTTCATGAGAAAATTATGTTCGAAAGACGTGTTGGTTGGAATAAAAAAGGAGTGAGGATGTTATTAAACATAAGTTATCATCGATGTGAAAGAGTTTTGTTAATCATTAAAACTGAAAAATATAACATTTGTTCCTTTTTTGCCAATACATCTCTGGATGGAAGTATTAGTGATGTCGACGAAGGCCTCATAAGTATAATAAGTATTAAAATGAGAGAGGGGAACAATATTTAATTCTTATAACGAACGAAATTTTTATAATGAACTACTAGCATTAATTCATATATGAGTCTGCACCAACACCGAACAGACGGCCACTAATTTATTAGGCGAAAGCTAAATGGTGATTTAGCAAAAAAAAACCGCTACCGCCGATTGCGATTGTTATATATAAGTAATGTTATAAAAAGGATCGATTTAACTTAATATAAATTAAAACTTTAACTAAAATAATATTTCGCGATCCTCGAGATTTTGTTAATAGATATCTAAACCGTTTTGCCATCTCTGAGCAAAATCTTAAGGGCTCACGCTAAATTTAAATATTGGGCTAGCCGTTTTTAAAAATCAAGCCATTTAACAACACTACGCACAAGTCTGATCATCTAATATAAAAAAAAATCAACCACCTTAAATTTCCTTTGGCTGTTCATAACACGAAGGGATTGATATATATTATTTTTAAGACGAGCTTTTAGTACATTATAAGGCAATAGCTATCCTCTGGTTATATAAATTTTAAGAAAAAATTTAAGGAGAAGGACGTCGTGATTAATTAATCGAGTACATGAAACCTAATTCGAGTTCATACTCATACATTAATTATTGATTGGTATATATATAAAAAATGGAAAGGAACAAAGAAAAATTTATTCATTAATTTAAAAGGTTTTAGTTTGAGTGGTAAAGGAAGAGAATAAAAACATAAAATATACTCGTAAATATCTGGAGTTAATTTAATTCGAAATCACTGGAAGGGTTCTGAAAATTCATTTTTAAATGTATGGATTCATAAATAATCACCTCTTATTAAGTTAATGGGGGGGGGGGTGATATTTAATTAAGGAAGTTTATTGAGGGAGAAGAATGACAGTTTAACTATGATAATTTAGAATGGCTATAAATGTAACAACTTTTTCACTCTTATAGCATATAATAGGGTTTGTAAAATTCGGAAAGGTGTAAATAATCTGGGTTATAATGCCGATATAATGCCTATATTCACCCAAGTCTTATAGGGAATATATGATAAATGTTGGAGAGAGAAAGAGAATTAAAAAAATCTTTAAATATTTACCAGTTTAGTGTGTAAATATCAAGAGCTAATGAAATCTTTCCTAGAATAACTTGCGTTAATTTAAGCATATGGCTATGTACCTATATTTTAAGCCTTGTGAAAGTTTTTCAAATTTATTAATTTGTATAGTTTAAAAAAAATTAAATTAAATCACGTTCCATTTTTTAATTGATTCCTAATCTCCGAACAGGAGAGGAAAAGAGGAAAAATACGAATTTTGTTATATAAGGAATGTCTTATTAATTTACTGAAAGCTCATGGTTGATAATTTTAATTTTAAAATTTTATGTATACCACGAGAAATTTAACGTGGCGTGATTTTATTATTGGGGGTTAGTAAAATATATTATATATAAAACGGATGTCTGCCGCATTTTCCATGATGCTCCCTCCAAAATTTAGGATGCCAGGGATTTTCGATTATTTTTAACGGAAATGGTAGCCACATTATCATCGCTCCTTCAATAAAGTCTCCCCGATCTGTGCAAATTTTGGATGATTTCAAAGACCTGTTGTTTTTCTTTCCTTTGTAAAAGCTAAAACAATGACTACCATTGAGGTGATCTATAATAAAATAAAAGTTATTATTTGAAAAATAGCATAATAAAGAACGGTTTCGAGTAAGGCCTCTAATGATTTTATAATTATCGTTGGTCAAGAAATCGTCAAATAAATGAAACCTTCTACCAACGGTTATCGGTGTTTTGCGGAAATCCAAAACTCTAAAATATATAAAGTGTATAATGTATTTATTAAACGACAATAGATATAATGATGTCATAAATTTATCTGGAATACATTTTAAAGACTCAAAACTTCTCAATTTTAAGGGCAATTTTCAAATTTGAAATCTGATGCATTATGAATAGAGGACCTATCAGAGTCGGCCGTAGATAAGTTCATCTCTAACTAGGTTGAGGAGGAGGTGAGGCCCAAAAAATAATAAGGTTATATATTTCCTTACTATTCTTTTTTACTTTTTTTTTGACTGATTTAATATAACAAACAAAAAATGGATTTTAAATAAAATAAGAAAAGTTAGAAAGAAAGAAAGAAAGAATAAATATAAAAAACATAAAAGTTTATGAAGAAAATTCCTGTAATTAAAGTAGATTACGTTTCCCAACAATGTTGAAATGCATCTTCAGTAAAATCAGATAATTCAAATTTGTTGATTTTATAGAATTGATAGATTTCAATACGAAGAGAATTCTTAATATGGTTGCTATTCCAGAATTACCATTTTATTTACATTTTTCTTTTCTTTATTAATTTTAATTTTATTCGTCTTTTTACATTTTAACGTCAGAATAAATTTTAAAATTTATTCTCATTTACGTGTTTGCCATTATATATATTTTTTCAATATAATATATAGATTGTGAGTAAATTATAGGCAGATGAGTAATTACGAATTTTTTCTACTTAATGGCTATTGGGCATTATTTAAATATGATATTTAAGTCTATATTAGGCTAAAATTACTTTTTATACAAACTCTACTTATAATGCTAGTCGACTATATTATCAATTTTATAATATATTTAGCACTCCAGCATTTATAACATATATGTATATTATGAGGCTAATAAAAAATTTTAAAGGGTGGGGAGGGGCATGATCGGGAAATTTAAATGTTCTCCTATTAGTTATGTCCCTGATAACAAAATAATAATTTTAAATATGTCAGTTATATTCTCACCTACTAAGATGGAATGCCATTATTTCACATTGAAAACGTTCACGGCCATGGAACGCTGGCCAAAATTTATCCTTAATCAAATCAGTCATAAGCAGGCGTTTATGCTTGAATAAAACCTTTTGATTTCCTTTCAATTCCAGTATCAATTTTGTCGTGCTGCCACGCATTTTATTGACCGTGATTTGTTTAACCTTTCTAGTAGCAACCCTTTTGTTTGGAATATCTATCCCTATCAGTGGATAGCTGGCCAGACTATCGTAAACCCTTGTCATAGGTGATTTCCATTCTTTATCTAATTCGTAAAGTTTCCCAGAACGCATCGATTTTCGGATCCATTTGCGCGCCAATCGCCAAGAATTTCTTCCATCTTCGGTTTGATTATGCTTTTCATTATTCGAAATAATGATGGTTGTCGATCGTGGGTCATTGAAAGCTAAAACCTCGTTTTTTAACTGTAATAATATATGATCGTATTTCTTTGCGTCTATACTCTTGTCAATAACCGAAGTGTCGGGACCATATGTCTTTTTGCTATCATTGTTTGAAATCAAAATTAAGCGAATTTTGATTTCGAACTTCCTCCTGACCCTGTGAGACAAAGATATATCATTGCGTTTGCTAGAAATGAGGGAGGCGTAAAAGGGTATATCAGGAATGATTTCACCTAAATTTAATTTTTTATCGCCTACCTGTAATGTATAGCCGAGAATGTCGATCTTGCTGCTACGATGCCTGATATTCTTTGTAAGCCTTTTTATAGATTTAACATAGTCTCGAGGTAGATGTATATGATAACTGTCACAGTCATCTTTTTTATTTTTCTTACCATGGCCAGACTTTTCCTCGTCATCCTCGTTTTCTTTTTCAACTTTATTTTCTTCAGTTGTGCCTTCATTTTCATTATGATTTTCACTATCAGTTTCCTTGGCAATTTCATCGATAGTAGTATCCAACATTTTTTCGGTGGAGCGGTGATTTTCTTTATACACTTTGTCAACACTAATAGTAATTTCTTTGGTCGTTGTACCATCATCGATTGTAAGATCATTTTTTTCATTGGTAAACTTATTTCTTGTTACTGTAGAAATAGTTGTAGAATTAATCTCCTCCTTCCAATCTTCTCTCCATTTTCCTGGGACATTTTTATAATATAATACAAATCATTAAATCGAACCGATATTAGTAAATAATTTGCAAATTAAATCCGTAAATGTGTCTTATCATAAATATATGAATAGGATTATATATTCTTTTTTACTTTCAGCATTTTGTTGATACTTTACTTCTTTTAACGCCTTTACAAGTACACCATTTAAATTGACATCTTCTTAAAAAGATATAGAATAAAATATAGAATAGATAAATAAATATTTGTCCTGAATAAGGGAGACCCGGATACATCGAGCCGGATTTTAGATAACCAATTTAAAGTTTATCAAAATTTAAGAATATTGACATTCACATTTGAATTAATAATATCTATACCACAGAACAAAGTGTCGGTAAACACCTCTCAACAAAATTTAAAAACTTTAATTATAAAATATTTTATAATAAAACAGTTGAAATTATCTATATCAAATATGATTTTTTTTCTTTTCTATTTTTATAATCTTGATTCTTAAAATCACATAATAACACTAAATAATGGGTAATAATATTATTATTAAGAAACAAACTGAATAAGAAACTTAAAAAAAACAAATATTTATGCAAATAATTATGTAAAAAGTTAAATTTGTAATATTACACTTTGTAAATGTTCTAGTAACGTTTCGGAATTGCGTTCCATAATTTTCCCTAAGTTCCGTTCCCGGAATGCTTCCAAAACGTTCCGTTCTATGAGAACACGCTTAACCCTTTACATATTTCTACATTTTAGGGGCACGGTGTGGCGTGTCATATAGTGCCCTCCCAACTACACTACACAATCAATAATTTAGAAGCACATAAATCCTCAATAAAATTGAACACTAAATATTTGAATATAATTAATGGAACAATTTCTATTATCATCGAAATGGAAATGGAATATATCTAATAAACCAAGATTCGTTCCCGCCTTTTTTCGTATTTCTTTTTTATCGCCTAGTCTTTTCGTAAATTCTGGTATGACTTCTTTTTGATTTTCAGCACTTTTTTTCCCAGTAGATTTATAATAATTATAGGTATGCTTGTGGTAATTAAGGCTGAATTCTTTCATCCCATTCACTGCGCTATTGTTGGAACCAAGAGGAGCATTAATTTTGTTTCCCATCGGAGCGGGAGAGAAAATTGCAGTGAATAAATAAACGGAAGCCGAAATAGTGAGAATAAGATAAAAGGAATCCTTACCCACTTTACCTGTGTTAAAAAAAATAAAGTTTTTTTAACTGAAATATTGGATTCTTTATTAATTTTAAAAAAAAATATATATAAGGCAATCCATTTACTAAACCAAAAATCTTGCCCAACCCATCCGAGTAATATTTTAAAAGATCCGAACCCAATCCGATCCGAAATTCGACTTTAGAAGTAAGTCTAAACCCGATTCAATCTAAAATAATTTTTTAATTTATTGGACTGATGTAAAAAGATCCAAAATTTCAATAAAGGTGGGAAAATTATAAGCGCTTGAAAAGAGAATATAAAAAAAAATTAATTTTGTTTTATAGTTATTCTTGAAAATGATATTAATCGAAAAGAAAAAATTTTGTAACGTTTCAAGACCGGCCCGGTTAGAATTTAAAAATATTGTAAAATCGAGTTCGATCCGTCTTACCAAGGAAATGTCTGTCCGACGCACCCGAAGGATGGGTTCGGTGTCGGGTAAATCCGCGCGTGAATATCTTTTTTGAACAAAAAAAGGGTGTATACATATAATTGCAAAATCCTATTTACTTTATATTTATTAGATATAATCAAATGGCCTACAGCTGACTCGAATTAGGATCAATCTATATTAAACGCGATAATATGTGTCGCTCTCCAAACAGATTTTGAATACCAAAATCAAGGAAATTCGCGATTAGTCGCTATATATTTGCTTAATCTTTATAACATCTGTCCTAGAGAACGATATCGTGCCATATTTCGCGATCAATATAAAATCAGCCTTAATCCTATTTCAAATTTTATATTAATATTTACGCTTGTCAGTTTAGTGTTATAATATATCTTGGGATTGCCTATATTAAAAGAATGATTCTGTGATTGCTTGTATTACCTGCGATAATGAGGATATTGGAAATCATAATAGTTTTCCCATCTAACATGATAAGAATTTTGAAACAAATAAATATTTCATTTCTAAAACATTAGTAAAGTAATATGTGATATATATCTAAAAATCAAGATATTTAATTTATAATTAACGTATTAAATAGAAAAAGTAAGTTATCTAAAAACATTTTTATGGATCAAAGGATATAAATGTTATTGATATCTGTTTAAATGATGTTTGTTTATATAATTTAAAGGTAAAATTATATATCATGTTTCACTACTTCCTTTATTTTCAGCCTTACTATTGAAATTAACTTGGTAAAAAAAACTTATCCAATTTTGATAATATTATTTTAATAAATTATTGATAATTATATACTCTGATAGAAAAAAAAAATTGATTTATTAATATTTATAATTATAACCAGCGCTGAGCTGCTAAATTTCTTAAAATCGGTATACATATAAGTAGTATACATTTATACAATTTCGATAACATAATATTTAATTTTTTTCTTACCAAAAAATTACAAATAAATTGTTGATTATAAAATATACATATTATTTCCCATTCCTTATTCTAACTTTCGATATTACAAATAGTCAATCACCCTAATCAGAGTTTGAAATGCTCCTCAAAATAAAAAATATTCAAAGATTTTTGATCTCTGAACATTTTTTCAAATGAAGATTTTCTAAAAAAAGATTTATTTGAAAACGCTCAAATAAGTAATTTGTGACTTTGACTTGTATAAAAAATCTTTCACGTTGAAATCACAAATTAGAAAAAAAAAAACCATCAATTTTATGATCTTCAATGAATTTTGGACAGGAAAATCTTTAAGAAATCTCTGAAAATTATCTTTTTTCAAACTCTGATTCTAATCAGTAATAATTTACCTGGTATCCTCTTTAAATCTGAGATATATTTTTCAGTTATCAATTTTTTTTGCTATATCCTTTATTCAACTGAAACTTTTATCTGTTTCTTTCTATATTACTAATAAAAAAAGCATATTTGATAATTTCTTTGATTGATGTTAGGAAAGGAAGTCATAATTCAATAAAATTATCCGCAATATTTTAAGAGTCATTTAGATCTATTGATTAAATTTTAGATAAATTAGGCCACAATTCGCCTCTTGGATGCATAACTATGTTCTATAACCATCGGAGAATCAGCTTGTCAATGGTTATCAGATCTAGCAAAGAAATTCCAACGAGGGGCAAAATAGACGGAAGGAAATAATTCATAGCCACTATAGAGCATGAGCCACGACATTACCACTAATTGTTTAAAAGGAAGTGCAAGGTAACTCTAAAGCTAAATGTGAATAATTTTTCAAGACTATTCTAGAATAATCTTATTTAGTTGTTGGGGTAATTGAGATAAATAACGAGTATTCAAAGGGTAAAATCATCAGGCGCAAGAATAACTACGGACCGTATCAATGATCTTACTATAATTATTAAATCATAAGTCACAATAATGATAAAAGTGATCCGAAATCTGGACTTTTGTCAATTCCTCATTGCATTCAAATAGGCGTTACTCGCCACTTTGAGTAAAATAATTAACATTGCACATTTGGAATAAGATTTAATGAGATATTTTGATGTAAATATTAATTAAGATCAGAAAGTAGCAAACCATATATCCCTTAGTAATTGACTTAATTTGCTAAGACTTTTATATTTATACAGTCTAACAATTGGATTGAATTGAAGTATTAAACTAAATTTATATTAGTTATAAGCATTATATTTTTGTTTATTTGTAATTAGTGCTTTCAAAGGTTTTTCCAAATATAAAATTAGAGTCAGATCAGTATCAGAATTTTGAAAATATAACTCTATTCATGAAAAAAAAATTTTTAAATATTATACAAAAAATTTTTTTTTTATTATATAAATTTTAATTCTACTGTAAAAATATTTTTAATCTTTTTAAAAGACAAAAAAAAAAAATTCTTAAGTAATTAAGTTTTTTATAACCTTTTAACCATAACTTATATTTTAGGTATAGTATAAATCTAAATTACGGTCGTTATTATATGAATTATATGAATTGACGCAGTTGTAAATGTAAAACAAATGAGTAGAGATGTATAAAAAAAATTTATGAAAATTTGCATTAATTATTTGATATTGAAATATTGTGATATATCAAGCTTTTGAGAAATTATAAAGAGGAAAAATTTCTATACAAATTATGATTAGAAAAGCCATCATCCTGTCATTTAAGCCGGACTATATCACGATTCATGTCACTGTTGTATTGCAATATTACTAAATTTAGTTTATAATCCCAAAATTTAAACCTATTTTATAGAAATAAAGATTTTCAATATAATCAAAAAAATTATTGAAATCAAGTTAATCGTTTTACAAAAGTTAAATAAACTTCGGCTTATTTAAAATTTCCTTTTTTTTAAAAAAATGTTTACATTAGTATCCCTGTGTTTTAAAGTAAAGTGTTGATATCAAATATGATTAAATTAAATGTATTGAAGGACATAAAAGAATAAATTTATCTAGGAAATCATTGTTAATAATAAATTAATATAATATAATATCAATCAATTTTTACTTAATAAATATAAAATAAGTGTTAATTTTTAGACCAATGTTGAAAAAATTCGATTTTATGGCACTTGCAGTTTAGTTGATTACCAGGTCTAGTTCTTGATTCATATACTTAACTCTTACGAACTTTTATGATTTCAACTTATTGAAAATTTTCGTGTCACTAGTTTAATTATTATCAAATAATATATTTCCTTTTTTTTTTACCTAAACTAATTTATCAATAATCTTTTAAAATAAATTTTTTTAAAATTATGTTTAATAAAACTTGACTAATTTAGGGACTCATTAATATCTAAATTTTGACAAATGCATGGATTATCAAAGTGATAACCTAATTTTTTTTGAAAAAAATTATTGTTTAAAGTCATTTTAAGAAATGGGGATAATTTTTATTTGTGGGGTTGGTTTCTAAATTTTATTGTCATGAAAAAAAATATAGTATTTAATATGATGTTCCTTCAAATTGATTCCCAAATTGAAAATTATACATAACACGAGTGAATATTTATCTAACGAATATCAACGCACCGTGCCTAGACATTTTGGCGGCCCATGGCAAAAATTAATTAGCGGTCCTTTAAAAAACTATAATTTGCCTAAACCAATTTGATAATTATTTTATTTTGACAAAGACTAAAAGCATATAATATAGTAGAATTTATTGAATTTCATTCATAATGAGTAACGCATGTTATAAAAATTATGTTTTGCTTAGTCTGTTAAATGGATAAATGCTTATCCACTAATACTTAGTTTATAATTTGAACCTTTCTCACAGCATACTATTTGAGGCTTCTCCATATCAGGTAACAATGAATGAGGTAGCGTACTGGCATATAATTCATTTTGTTGTAATATTTTTATTTAAGATAAATTATAAATCTTGAAATCAGGAACCAAAAGTGGAGTTGGCAATTAAAAGATGAATTATTTAAATAATATATGTAGATTAGTCAAAAATTATCATCTTTTGCTATCGTATTAATCGCTGATGCGATCAAATGACTCTATTTTAACGTGAAACAAGGGAACTGAGCTTAAATTTAGTGTATTATATATATATTTTTTTGAGTTAGATACAAAAAAATCAAGAATATATATATGTACTTAGAGAATTTTTATGAATTTAAGAAGATTTTTACTAAACTCCAATCTGAACTGAAATATTTAAACTTATGCCTGCCTCTCCTTTATATCTAACATGATATTAATCGGACTTTTATTATTTCTCCCACTTTCGACACTATAATGTTCTTTGTTGTCTTTCATCCAATATTGATTTAATTTTATAATTTTAACAATCATCAAATTATTTTAAAAAGCTCATTAACAAAATAAATATTAATATTAGCTATGATATAATTTTCCCTATAATGTTCACTGTTGCGTGTTTCAAGGGCCTAAAAGGCTTAGAGGGAGTAAGATAATTTGGTTTACACAATATAAAATAGGCCAGCAGGATATGGACTGATATTAACGTTATTTAAACCTAGTACATATGAATATAAACTATATATATTTTTTTGAGATATTATGAATAATGCCATACTATTTTGTACCGGAAATTATTTTTCATGATAATTATATTTTAATGATCTTCAAAAACTATTAGGACAATTTCAAATCCTTCTGATAATGGTTCACTTAATTCATCAGATCTGTCACTCGTTAAAAGAAATAATAATAAGATAATAAGAACAGAATTTATGTTAACTTTTAACTTCACTTTTGATAATTTAAGACTACAAAAAAAATCCCCCTTTTTTTAAGCAAAACAAAAAATAAGATATTGAAAAAAAAGAAAGATTTAATTTCCTTTTCAAAATTACATTCGAAAATCAAATTATATAAAAAATAAATAAAAATGTTTTTAATGAATGTTTATTATCACGATAATAAATCTTCCCTCATTTAATGATGATTACATTTATTTTTCCGAGACGGGGTAACAAAAAGGCCGACATAGATAAAATGCTCAACGGAATGTTCAAGTCGAGAAGTTTTCAACTTAAGGAAATTTTTTTTTAAATGGATGAAATATATCTAAAGTTAAACAAGTATATACTAACCTGTATTTTAAAGGTGTAGTATTAGTGTTGTAAAAAAACCCGATTTGGGTCGATTTTAGCCAAAATACTATTATGTAAAGCCTGGAGATTTTACTCACAGATGACGCAGAAAGGTTTAGACCTCTATTCGCCAAATCTCGAGGCTGACATAATATTATTTTTGGAGCACAAAGAAGCACTCTTTAAAATGGTTTTTTTTAAATAAGGGATAAGGAAATAAGATTCTATAAAATTATAACTTTTAATACAAAAATACATTTTAAAAATGATTTTTTATATTATAATTTCATTATAACAAATAAATTTGCTATCATAATCATTTACCAATTTATTCTTTCTATCCATTCTTCTTTTGTATAGTATATAAGTAAGGATTGCTTCTAGAAAGTAGT